CTAAGGGCTGGACGGCCGGGGATCGATCCCCGACGGGGGCAGAGGATTTTTCCTCTAGCCTCTGCGTCCAGACCGGCTCTGGGGCCCACCCAGCCTCCTCTACAATGGGTATCGGGGTCCTTTCCCGGGGGTAAAGCAGGCCGGGGCGTGATGCTGACCACTCACCCCCATCTAGTGCCGGGGTCAAGGAAGAGAGGAGCTATACCTCCTCTCACCCCAAGCGCCTACATGGCGTATAGTGGGACAAACTTTACTTTACTTTTACATATTTAATCTGTCCTGGTGTACGTTTATTGCAGATAGAAACGAATAGTTCCAGAGTTAATCATGCAACAGATTACAATGCACAAACTTATGAATTAGTTTCCTTCTAGGAAATACATTTAGAAATTAAGGGCAATATTGGAATATTTTCGTTGTATGATTGGCAACACTACTTAGGCCTGTCATGCTGTAGCAAGATGCCAGACGATGGTATGGTGAGAGTGTGGTTCAGTTATCCTTGTTTTCCTAGTGAGCTTGGCGTAAAATGTCTTCTACAGTAGATGTTTGCATCGAGCATTCAATAGTGCGTTTGTTTGTTTGTTTGTGTGTTTGAAGAATGAAATGGTTAGGGATCTGTCACTAATTGGCTGTGAAGAGTGGACAGATTGAAGTTTGTACGAGTGAGTCGAAGAGTTTACAGTAGAACCAGTGTTGTTGATGCAGACAGGTAGGGACGCTCATCGACATTCACTACCGAAGTAAACCTGGAACGTGTTCAAGCAATAATTCTTGAAAACTGTAGAGTAACTATTGCGGAGATTGCTGCAAGACATTAATGTTCCTCGTCCTTGTTACAAACTTCTGGTGTAGCATCGATCATTACGTCACACTCTCTCCGCAAAAATGGACTACAGCAGTGGTATTCAACCTGGGGTACGCGAAGACATCTCAGGGGGTACGTGAAATTTAAAATATATATATTATTTTATGATAAACACTGAATAATCAGTAATGTAATTTATTTAATTTATTTTAGATGTAGATTATATACTATGTATAACTTGAATTATACACCAACAACTTTGGGGGTACAAAGTTGAAGAGAAATTATATCTGGGGGTACGCGAACAAAAAAAGGTTGAATACCACTGAGCTACAGTAAGACCAAATTTCGGCAGTGTTGCCAGTCAACTAATTTCAGTAATACTTTTTGAATTTCCCTCGAATTTCGTTAAATATTTATATAAAAAGTGCTCGGAATAAACGTTGTGGGTTGTTATTGAGTGTGTGGGTCTGCATTCTGCTGCATGCCAAGTTAAAAAAAACCGAGTTTTGATGTTCGCGTTTGATTGGACCGATGGGAATCAGTTGTATAACAGCTTCTAATGTGTAACTAAAATGACATATTTTATCAAATCCTCTGAAGTAGTCTCGTCTCGCAATGCAGTACAATCACTTCGTTGTCGTATGAAATAAACTTTTCCAAAATTACGACTGCATTAGATGGAACGGGGTTACAATTTCCAAGACACCCAAATAATATTAAAATGGGAGCAGATGAGTATAAGTTGTAATGCTTTCAGCTACTATTAATTACATGTCTCTTTCTAGATTTCATGTTTATTAAACTTAATTTTCTTTTTCCTTAAAGCTGTGATATTTGCTGTGAAGTTGTCTTTGTAAGGAATTGAGGTTATGTGGAAGGGGGTGGAAACGCAACTAGTGCCCTTTACGAAACTGTTTTTATACTTGCGTGACGTAGACCAGTGGTATTCAACCTTTCTTGTTCGCGTACCCCCAGATATAATTTCTCTTCAACTTTGTACCCCCAAAGTTGTTGGTGTATAATTCAAGTTATACATAGTATATAATCTACATCTAAAATAAATTAAATAAATGACATTACTGATTATTCGGTGTTTGCCATAAAATAATATATTTTTAAATTTCACGTACCCCCTAAAAAAAATTAAATAAATTACATTACTGATTATTCAGTGTTTATCATAAAATAATATATATATTTTAAATTTCACGTACCCCCTAAGATGTCTTCGCGTACCCCAGGTTGAATACCACTGACGTAGAGGACGGAATTTTTGTGATGGGACGCGACCAATTTCTTTCACATGCTTTCGAAATTAATCATTCATAGAAATACCATTCGATGCTAAACAACATATGCGGTAGATAAAGAGTTTTTAAATAACCAAAGAGTGAGCCAGCAATGTTCTGTGGTGTGCAGATAACACGCATCGGGCAGTGGGAAATGCATGCAGCAGATAACCTCAGGATTACACGATCGCCCATTAACTGATAGTGACGTAATTTGCGGAATCCTACGGTAATTTGACATTGTTTCTTTTTTGATGAAGAACATGCCTTAGCAAATGAATTGATGCTCTGATCATGTATTTGAATGTTGTTTGTAGGGAATTACCTGTTTTCTGAGGTGTACACGATAGATTCAATGCCCAACATATTATTCATCTAACGGTCTATTTCCAGTACACGCGATCCTACAATTTCTTGGAATACGTACTGTGTTTGTTGCCAGGGAATACCATGTTATATTAAGCAATAAAATTCTCTTGAAAAATGTTTAGCCGGCCAATGGAAAATGACCAACTTCCGCATTCAGGATTCTTGAAATATAAATGCATTTGGATCGTCCTGTTTGATTTTCATGATGCGTGTTTATCACGTGTCCGTACGGTGACTGGCAGTCGATGTTTCGCCATCGTTTCAACCTCTATCAACACCGTCGCTGTCTTATGATTTTATACAGGCAAATGACGACGACAGAATTATTAATTATAAAGTTAAAACGATATTGCTGGCCTTGTAATCCTGGGGTCTCGGGTTCGATTCCCGGAGGTGCCCGATTTTATAACTTGTGTTGGGCAAGGCCGTGGTCTAGGCAACATGGAGTTTTCCTCCGGGGGCTTCCCCGGTTTCTCCGTGGCATCCCAACAATTACTCCATTCACACACAGAAGAAGGCAATGGCAAACCACTTCTGGATCATCTGCCAAGAACGTATATGAACAGATCCCAGTCCGAGAAAAGGATGGAAGGATCCTGCTCATTATGGACCTGTCGTCAGACAGAACACTAAATAATAATAAGATGAGGTGGTCTAGCGGTTAGAACGCTGGCCTTGTAATCCTGGGGTCTCGGGTTCGATTCCCGGAGGTGCCCGAATTTATAACTTGTGTTGGGCAAGGCCGTGGTCTAGGCAACACACGTTGCCTGATGTTTTTTGCCTGCGTTATAGACCAACGCCACGAAACACTCAGGAAACATGGTCTGTATTAGAACGGACTGTGGGTCACCATAATGCTTTGTCAGGGAATGTTCTGTGTGACCTGATAGTCTAATTGCTCTTGGGTTATTGATCGACGTTTATTGAACTGCGCAGGTTTTATGGCGTCGAATGTTTGGACGACTCGGAATTATCAATTAGTAAAGACTTGGAAGGATGTGCTGGTGGGATTTTTAAGGTACGATCCCATTATTTTTCTCGCGTCACGTTGTAAAGTATGACAAAATTACACAATTTTGGTTCCAAATCAACACAAAATAAGAGATTAGTCGATAGTCTCAGGCAGAAATGGGTGGATAATATGAAAGTTTTTGGAGAAACAGGGCGCGAAGATGTGAACTGAATTCAGCTTGGAGACGAAGGGATTCTGTGAGGGTTCTTCAAAACACGAAAATCATCCATCGGCAATGTGTTGACTAGCTGAGCGGCTGTCGATTCCAACTTTACACAGAGTGGGTTGAATTAATTGGACCACATGAAGAAAACACTTCTCTAGGATTGGTATTTTCAACTTGTATCTCTGCAACTAAAGCCCGATTGTACTACAAATTGGTCTTTTGTACTTTCCATCCTCCAAACATCATAAAAACCTTGTAAGATTCCGGGTTTTCACAGCGGTGAGTATGAAGATTTC